CAACACCCGAAGAGTAGTCATCTTCGGGGTGGGGGAGAAGGTCTGGAAGAAGTCGACCCCCTGTCGCTGACTGAAGCCTCGAGCAACGTAACGCGCCTTGAAGGCAGGCGGAGAACCCGGCGGCCGCTTCACCCTGAAAATCCACATGCCATCGACTATGTTCGCCCCAGGAGGGGGAACCTCATCGACGTAGGTGCCTGTGGACTTCCAGGAAGCCATCTCTGCATCCATGGCTGTCTGCCACTGAGAGGAGTACTCACCCGTGATCGCCTCTCCGTAAGAGCGCGGGGTGGGGATGTCAAGTGCATCCGGGTCTCTCTCAGGGCAAAACAGCATGGACGCGAAACGAGGTAAAGCGGCCGCGAGACACTCAAGCTCAAACTGCCTGTCCTCAAGGACGTCACAGCCAAGGGCAAGCTCACCCCCGACGGACGGAGGACAGACAGACTCAGACTCAGTAACAAGACTCGCGACTTAGTCGAGACGACTCCTAGCAGCAAAGTCGACTAGCTCAATGACTAGGGCAAACGCAGCAGTAGACTCAAAGTTAGGGTCAGTGACGAGAGTAGCGAGGAGACGAGGAACAGTAGGACTGGCAGCACGAGCAAGGTCAGACTCAGGGTCAGGAACGTTAGGAAGAGAGGACGGGCAACACGCTGTGGAACAGAGGAAGGACGGATTGCCATATCGTGAGTGCCTGGGACAGCAAGAGGACGAGGACGGGCGACACGACGAGCACGAACAGGTGTGGAGGCACGAGTCGCAGGCTCACGACGCTCAGTCAGGGAGTCAGTCACCTCAGTGTGAGGAGCAGGAACGGGCAGCGTGGAGCCAGGCAATAGCTGTGGCTGAGACTGGTCTGTCGGTGGACACAGGAGAGGTGGAGTGAGGCCAGTGGAAGACGGGAGACTAAGAACCTGGCGTAGGGCCGAGTCAGGCGGTGGCAGGGACGACTGCGGCTGCGGGTAGAAAAACGGTCGGAGCGGCACAGTACCCGTAACGTCAGCAGCTCCAGCACCCCCAGCTCCTGCATCCCCAGTACCTCCAGCTCCAGCACCTCCTGCACCAGCAGCTCCAGCACCTCCAGCTCTAGTACCTCCAGCACCTCCAGCTCTAGCACCTCCAGCACCAGCAGCTCTAGCACCTCCAGTACCTCCAGCTCTAGCACCTCCAGCACCAGTAGCTCCAGTACCTCCAGCACCAGCAGCTCCAGCACCTCCAGGACCTCCAGCACCAGTAACTCCAGCACCTCCAGCACCTCCAGCCCCAGCACCTCCAGCACCTCCAGCTCTAGCACCTCCAGCACCAGCAGCTCTAGGACCTCCAGTACCTCCAGCTCTAGCACCTCCAGCACCAGTAGTTCTAGCACCTCCAGCACCAGTAGCTCCAGTACCTCTAGCACCAGCAGCTCCAGCACCTCCAGGACCTCCAGCACCTCTAGCACCAGCAGCTCCAGCGCTTCCAGCACCAGCAGCTCTAGCACCCCCAGTGTCAGCACCCTCAGAACCGGCACCCCCAGACTCAGCACCCCCAGAGCCGGCACCCCTAGTGTCACCACCCCCAGCACCACCAGAGCCCACAGCAACAGGCTGCGGAGGCGGCGAAGACGGCCGAGGCGGAAAACCAGGAGGGGTCTCCAAGCGCGGGGAGCGGCGAGTCGTCGCCGTGTCGTCAGCCGCGGGGTCGCCCCCCTAAGCTGGGCCAGAGGTGTTAGAGGAGACCTCCAAAGGCTCAACCAAGGGGGGTGGGTCGACCTGAGACATACTTGAGGGAGCAAGACCCTGCGGGGGGAGGGGGTCTACCGGGAGGGGACCTGGGACCAGGAAGAGGGGCGGCAGGGAGAGCGGGGGAGACGTGTGCGGGTGGAGACGGTAGAAGCAGACCAACTCGTCAAAAGTGACGTCCTGTGAGGACAGGACCCGGCGCGAGACAGGGTGGTAAAACTGCCAGGGCGGGGCGTTGGTGGGGAAGCCAAGGAAGACACAGCGGAGAGTGCGAGGAGAGAGCTTGCTCACGGTGGTATCGCGAACAAGGGAGAGCGCGCCCCAGACCCGAAACGCCGACGCATCGCCAAACTCCCCCGTCCAATGCAGTGTAGGCAAGGTCTCTGGCACAAAGACACGGGGCCAGAGGTTGAGCTGATGCGCGACGTATCGGACCGCAAACGGCCACAGAAAATGGGGAGCAGCCGCATGGATCATGGAGGTGCGAGCAACGTCCATGACTAAGCCAATGCGGCGCTCAGCAATCCCATTCTGCTGTGGAGAGGCCGGAAGCGTGAACGTCTGGCGGATGCCCTCCGCACGACAAAAGTCCCGAAGGAGGTCGGAGGAAAACTCACCGCCTCTGTCAGAGTGAAGTCACAGGATCTGGAGGTCCTTCTCAAACCGAGAGCTCAACTGGCGACGAACAGTGATGATCCAGTCGATCAAAACACCTCGGACATCCGCCTTGCTCCGCAAGGGGAAGACCGTGGTGTAGCGAGTGTAGTCGTCAACAACCAGCAGAAAGTAGCGCTCCTGGTCCTGTCCACGGACGCGGGCTGGGCCCCACACGTCCATGTGGAGAGTCTGCAGAGGAGCAGTGGTCGGCGGAAACGAGGAGGAGTGAGGAGTGGCGCGCTGCCGCCCCTCGACACAGGGAAGGCACGGCGGTGCAAGCGAGCGCGGGAGCGGGGGCAGGGACCTGGGGAGGCCAGAGACAAGGAGACGAGAGAGCATGCCACGCAAGCGCGGCAGGGAGGGGTGACCATGACGGTGGTGCCAGAGGAGAGTCTGGTGCGAGAGTAGCCGGCACGAACAAGACGCAGCTAACAGACCCGACGCAGCTACCTGACCCGACGCAGCTACCTGTGCGGACTCAGTGGTCAGTGTGTACAGGCCAGACCCAGGGCTCCGAGTGAAAGTGGCGAGGTGCTCGCCAGTGCGTGAGTCCGTACAGACTGCCACAAGCTCACCCCCAGGAGTAGTCACAGTGACAAACTGGTCCTGGAGGACAGCGTGACTCACCAAGTTCTTAGAGAACGATGGGAGGTGGAAACCTGTGAGGGAGCTTGAGGGGGCTGCCGGACAAGGGAGAACGGTGGAGGCACGTGCTACTACTGGGCCCCCAGAGGGGTCAGCGAGACTGACCGGGACAGGTGCAGTGAGCGGTGTGACTGTGGTGCAGTTGCGGAAGAAGCAGCGAGTCGCGCCTGAGTCAAGCGTGAAGGTGTGTAAAGCCTCCACAGGTGCTGTAACAGTGCTACCAGGCTCACAGGCACCTAGACTAGAAGCCTCTACACCACCAGGGACGCGTCGCTGAGAAAAACATTCCCTAAGCTGCTGCGGCGAGGGGGTCTCCGGCTGACTATGCTGCCGCTGCTGTAGAGGCTGGGTGGCAGGAGAGAGGGAGGAGTAGAGTCTAACAACAGCGTCAAACAAAGCCTGGGCCGACGTCACCTGTCGAAAGTGGTCCCTCTGTTCGACCGGCAGGAGAGATCGGACGGCACGCTGGGTAACAGCGTCGCGCTCCGTCCACTATCTGTAGGCGAGGCTGTCCGCCCGGTACCGCCTCTGCATGTCCTCGTCAGCGTCAGCAGCAGGCTCAGTGGGAGTCGTGGGGGCCGGAAGTGACCCCGACGTGTGCCCGAGTAGGGAGACGCTATCTCTGATGTAACACCGGAGATGCAAGCGTAGGCACATAAGCCAGAAGTCGAACCGGTACGGGAGTCCGTCGGCGTCAAACGCTATGACAGGTGGCGTTGCCATGATGGGCAGTGTAGTGGCGAGGGCAGAGCGTGGGCAACTAGAGCAGCGTGCTGGCATCTAAGGCAGCGCCCAGGCAGGGCGGCGCGCGGGCTGCAGGGCAGGGCGGCGCACGGGCTGCAGGGCAGGGATGTGCGCGGGCTGCAGGGCAGGGCGGCGTGCTAGCTGCAAGGTAGGGCGGCGCGCGGGCTGCAGGGCAGGACGGCGCGCGGGCTGCAGGGCAGGGCGGCGCGCTAGCTGCAGGGTAGGGCGACGCGCGGGCTGCAGGGCAGGGCGGCGCGCAAGCTGCAGGGCAGAGCACGTGGGGCCGCGCAGGCAGGGCAGCGTGAGGAACGCTGTTCGGGCAGGGCAGTACGGGCAGTTCGGGCAGTTCGGGCAGGTCGAAAATAGTGGTGGGCCCTAACGGAGCGGTCCTACGGAGGATGGACCCGCTCTGAATACCATGTCAGAATAGGAACGTACGAATGATGGACTAGGTAGGAAGAGTGAGTACAAGTACTACCTAACCCTAAAGTGTTGTACCCTTTAGGGTATGCCCCACTACAGCCTACAGAGAACAAATACAATTTGACAAACATGCCTTCTGAACAACACCTCTCAGCACAAGGCTTGGATGGGCAGGACAGATGACACGCATCTGCTCCGCGTCTTCGGCTGCATGGTAAAGTACAGACTCCACACTCTATTGGGAAGAACATGAGCTAACATAGACCAACGGGGTAAGATGTATGCTATCGCAACATGTAACAACCTTATGCGGATGCTTACGTACATTCTTGCCATGCCTCTACTAGTGAGTGTGAATAAATTCCAGTTTGTGTGCGCTTCAATAAAGTTAGCCTTTTTGAAAATGCTGATGGTTTGTGACATTATAATACAGTATAGTGCGACTCATACACCACATGATTATTTAGTAGCATATGATCTCTGTGCGCCTGACTTCCCCGCTAGCTCACATATCCTGGAACTTGATGTGCTTGTTGCGAGGTTTGTACACCTCAATACCATCAAGCGTATCTACACTTAACCACTTCCACTTGCTCTCGTCCTCCAGAAGCCCAATGCAGTAGTGAGTACAAGGTGGCTGGCTCTTTGCATCCACACTGTCACATCTGGGCGGCCATCTGGGGGGCGGCTTCCTCGTCTGGCTCTTTGGACCATCCACATCTCCTTGGGTGGGCGGCGCAGTGCATGTGAACAGTGGTGGTTGCGTAATGTTGCGGTTGTCCTCTAGTGCAGATATGGAGTACTTGGCTAGAAGGATGGCCCAATAGAGTCGCCGGCCGTCAAATGTGCATACGTCACTGTATTGGGGGTCGGGGAATGGGGAGGGAGGGAAGTGAAAAATGAGATAGTTTGTAGGGAAGCACCAAGGATGTGTGTATGTGTGTGTGTGTATGTGTGTGTGTGTGTGTGTGTGTGTGTGTGTGTGTGTGTGTGTGGGTGCGTGCGTGCATGCGTGTGTGTGTGCGTGTGCATGTGTTTGTGTGTTTGTGTGATTGTACATGGGTGTTTATGTGTGTGCTTGTGCAAGGGCATGGGAACGTGCAAGTGTGAGTATGCTTGTGCTAGGGTGTGTAACTGTGCATGTGAGTATGCTTGTACAAGGGCACGTGCTAGGGCGAATGAATGTGGATGTGAGAGTAGGCTTGTGCTAGGGCGTGTGAATGTGCACGTGAGTATGCTTGTGCTAGGGCATGTGAATGTGTATGTGTGACTATGCTTGTACAAGGGCACGTGAATGAATGCGCATGTGCGAGTATGCTTGTGCTAGGGCATGTGAATGTGTATGTGTACGTATTGTTGTGCAAGGGCATGTGAATGTGTATGCGTGAGTGAGCTTGTGAAAGGGCGCGTGAATGTGCATGTGTGAGTATGCTTGTGCAAGTGCATGTGCATGTGCATGTGCATTCGTGCGAGACAGCAACACCCACCTTGCGAGCTCATTCGCTTGCCGAACAATCCTCCTCGCCTCTCCATCATTCCGCCTCGCCCACTCAATCTGACTGAACAGGTCGGAGAAGAACCGGTGCGTGGGCAGGAAGTGCCGGTACGGGCACATGAGCGGGTCGAAGAACTGGCTGTACTCGCTCGCCTGCTTGATCAGCATCTGACTGCTCGACAGCACGCCGCACACGCGCCCGCTGCCTGTCCCTCCGTCCACGTCCAGTTCATACTTGTAGCTCTGCAGTTCTGTCGGGCCCAGGCGCTTGCCGAATGCGATGGCATCTTGCCGAAGACTGCAGGGGGGAGGGATGGATGAGATTGGGGGGCGGGGAGAAGATGGTTCAGGTAGAGAAGGGCTTCGCTGGTACAGCCGCACACACACTCGCTGCTTATCCCTCCGTCCACGTCCAAATTGTACTTGTATCTCTGCAGTTCTGCCGGTCCCAAACGCTTACCGAATGAGATCGCATCTTGCCGGAGACTGCAGGGGTAAAAAGGGTGAAGGAGGGGGTGGAAAATATTGAGGGACAGGAAGCGGAGAAGATGGGTGAGCGAGAGGATGGTACCGCTGGTGCCGCTGCACACACGCCCACTGCCCGCCCCCCCCTGCACGTCCAGCTCGTACTTGTAGCTCTGCAGTTCGAACGGGCCCAGGCGCTTACCGAACGGGAAAAAAGGTTGAAAGACGGAGGAAGGTGAAGCGAGAGAGAAGGGGGAAGGAGCAAGATGGAGGGATGCAATGGGGTGAGGGTTGAAGCTCATAACCGTGGGCGGAACCTGTAAAGTGGAAGAAAAAGGGGGGAGGATATGAGGATGGGAGGGAATGTGAGGGGAGGAGATGGAGTGTCAAAGGGAGGAGATGGGACGGTGAAGGGAGGATATGGAGTGGTGAGGAGAGGAAATGGAGTGGTGTGAGGGAGGAGATAGGACGGTGAGGGGATGGGGAAGTGGGTTGAGAAGGTGGGAAAGTGAGGGGAGAAATTTTGCCGAGGAATTTGAAGAAAGGTACATCTGGCTCTCTTGGACAGCAAGACGTGCCTGGCAGGCTGGCACACACCCATGGAAAGTTACTGTAACTCATGGGTGATTACGACTTGGGTGTTTCAGTCCGGCTTGTTGACAGTTAAGATCAATGGGGTGTGAGTACATGCAGCTACTTGGAAGTGTTCATGTTTTGCGACTCACCCTGCACGGTATTCAGGGTCCAATCCCCTGCCCCCACTACCCTGGCATCCCTTTTAAGAAGTCTCGGAAGTCACTCTGGAGTGTTTAGGTTGAACCACTCACCCTGCGCGGTATTCAGGGTCCACCCGTCCCACTACCCTGGCATCCAGCAGGTCCGGCCGAACGTCCGACATCCTGGTATGGGGATGAGGGGAAAGGGGGCAGCGAGTGCAAAATGGGTAAGGGAGGGAGGAAAGTGGGGATTTGAAAGTTGAGCATAATCATGGTGCGTGCAAAGCACGGTGCCATGCGGTGCAATGTGATACCATGTGGTGGCCATGTGGAGCCATGCGGTGCCATGTGGTGCCATGTGGTGCCATGAGATACCATGTGGTGCCATGTGGTGCCATGTGATACGATGTGGTGCCATGTGGTGCCATGTGGTGCCATGTGATACCATGTGGTTCCATGTGATACCATGTGGTGCCATGTGATACCATGTGGTGCCATGTGATACCATGTGGTGCCATGTGATACCATGTGGCGCCATGTGATACCATGTGGTGCCACGTGGTGCCATTGGAACTCACACGGTACCATGCGCCACCCAATGCCTCCTCACCTGTGCACACGGAATCGCGGGCTGCCACGCCAGTGCTTGGGGTAGATGACACGGTAATTGGTCATGCCACCCCGGAACACAGCTCGGCTCTCCTTTTGCTCCCACGGAATCTACACACAAGCATTCAATGACATGGAATTCAGTGCACAAGATGTTAAGTTAAGTACACAAGGATATTGAACGATGATTGAGAGGAAATGACCAGAGGAGTGTAAGGACTGCTCAAGATGGATATGAGAGATGCCAAGAAGAAACAACTTAGACTATGAGCAACAGTGACATGTTATTTTTTTACAGCTGCCCTTTCACCTGCTCTGCCCAGTTTCTGTTCGGATAGCACGTGCCATCGCATGTCAATTCAGCCTCACCTCATCTTCTGCTTCCCGGAAGTAGTTGCTGCTTAGGTCGACGGGGTCGGGATAAAGAATGTCGATGCTGCCCGGCGCGCCATGCACGCTGAAAATGGGAAGCCCTGCTAGCGGTTTGGCGACACTGCTGGCTTTGCTAATGTACATGTCGCATGTATTGAGGAAGAATTCCGCGTTCAGGTTGTGTAGCTTGTACTCGCGTATCGCATCCTGGATTGCATAACGGGGATGTGCAATGGGTTCGAGGGATTGATTTTGAGAGATCAGGAGATTGAGAAGCAGGTTATGATTGGATGGAAGGATACGAAATGACGTGTCAGATGTGTTTTGAAGTAAATGAGCGTCACAAATAGTTATGGCATATAACGGCATTCTCTCCGCACTCTGACGTATCCCAGAATCTTCCGCATTTCGCAATTGTCACTTGTGCTGACCTGGATCATCTTTATGGAGAAGACGAATCGCCTGAGGCGGTACCAGTCGAACTCGAAGTTGCCAAATCGGAAGAATATCTTCCCGCGAACGATGCGCACGTGGCCCGCGCACGACAGCACCTGCGTGCAGCCATTAGCGCAACCGCGAAGCAACAAGGCAAGCAGTGGAAATAGAAGGGATGAGCAGCGGGATGGGAGGAGACATGAGGGTGTAGAGGGGGGAAGGTATGGTGGGGGTGGGGGTGTGGGGAGGAGAGGGAGGAGGGTGGTGGGGGGCAGCAGGCAAGAGTGGACCCAGACAGGAAATGAACTATGTGAAGTTAAGGGGAATCCAGAAGAACCGGCGAGGGATGGCGTGTTGGTGCGAAAGGGGAGGGTGGTACAGCGGGGGAGCAGGGAAAAGGGAGGAGGGATGTGTGGGACATGAGCGCGGGGGGGACTGTGCTGGATTTGATACGGTCGTTCGCCATCGTGCCCATCTGCTGCAGCGGCGCGGGGTTGATAATTCCGCGCGCGGGAGCGGGGGAAGGGTAGGAGCGCGGGAGGGATTGTGCTAGATAAGATACTCACATACTCATATTCCCCATTTGCTGCAGCATCGGATTGACCGTTTCCCGCGCGGAAGGGCGGGGGAAGGGGAGGAGCTTGGGAGGGAAGGTGCGAGATTTGATACTCACGTTCGTCATGGTGCCCATTTCCTGCAGCATCGCGGGATTGATCATTCCCCGCGCGCCCATGCCCGCGGTGACCCCCGGAATGCCCATCCACGGGCGCAAGTAGTTGTGCGCCAGGCACGCGAGCTTCCGCGCGGTGGCGGAACGGCTGCGCGCGCTCAGCGCGGGGAACTCCGCCAGGTCCGCCACGCACTCCTCCGCGTCTGCGCGCGTGTCCGGGAAGCCGCACGAGCCCTGCCCCGCCTCGAACACGCGGGGGTAGGCGGAGGAGGCAGAGGTGGAGGCGGAAGAGGGGGAGCCAGCAGCGGCGGCAAAAGCGTCCTCCCTGGTGGAGTCCCCGCGGCTTCCGCCGCTGCTGTCGGCGCTGTTCGCGGCGCTGCCAACGGCGGTACTAGAAAAGGAGCGCAGGATCGGGGTTTCGTTTGGCTGAAAGTGCTCTAATCGCCTCCGCGGGCTGTCGTCAGGCTGAAGGAGAAGGGGGGGGGGTCGCGGAGAGGGAAAGGGAGGATGGAGACGAAGAAGAGAACGACGAGGCAGGGGGGAAGGTGGAGGTGGATTTACCGTGCGGGAGAACGCGTACAAGCACGAGTAAATCAAAACTATGGAAACGCGACGTTGGAAGCGAGCGGGAGTGGTTGTGACTATTCGGACTCGGATCAGAGTCATCAGACGAGGGACTCGAGAGTTTCAGTGTCGAGAAAATCCACCTTTCCGCCGGTCACATGCTTATTAGATGCTCGTGGAGCTGTTTTGACTCTCGTGAGCTGCTGGCCGAGTCGGCACCTTTTTCAGTCGAAGAGTTCAAGTTTCACTGTGAGATTCGTGCGAGCCAAGTCTGTAGATGCGGTACTTCCCCCCGAGCTCACTCCTGAGATGTCTCGAAAGTCCTTCAACCTTTGCGACACCCACAGCAGCAGCGTCACTGGCACTAGCGTCGGCGCTATCCGCGACATGATTCGCCCCGTTAAGCGTGGCAGTGAGCAGGACCGTCGCATGCTAGCCGTGGACTGTCAGTACACCTAATTTCAAGGCGGGCCTGGAATTTGTAGAGGGGGTAATACCAATATGAGAGGGCAGGATCTCGGATGTTAGGGGTCTCGGCGTCTTCAAACGTCGCTAACTGTTTAGAGAGCCCGTGGGTCTGTGCTTATATCTCCCATGAGGCAACTAAAAGGACACTGGTGATTGCTTGCAAAACGGAAAGACTACCACATATGTGCTCCTGATTGTGCGCTTGCACTTCGGAGCTTGGTGATCCTCTGCACCCGCGCAGCGCCAAGTGAAATTGCCTTGCATCTCGTCAATGCGTTCGCGAAATCCTCGAGTGTGATCCTGCAACTACGTTCGCAATTAGTTCGCAACAGACGGATCGCTTCGTTGCCTTGTGTCGCCAAACCACACGCAGGGCGACAGTAGTCAAGCTCATCACAATGACGACGATGGTTTGATCAGGTGAAAATACACATTTGGCTGGCTGGATCGGGCAATTGGGGACTTGGCTGGCGAATGGCGATTCAGGTGTTGGGGTTGTGGCGAGCGCCAGCTCAAGGTGTTTTGTTCGTCATTGAATTGCCTGCCAGCATGCCCACACTTGCCCCCTGGCTCCACAGCTCCACACCCTACCTCCACTAGAATACCACGCGATTGATGTACACAGGTGGGATCGCCATGCCCCTTCACATAATTCGCTATATACAGAAAATTTAGTATGTTCAACACTTGACTACCACTTCTCCTACCAGTAGGCTAAAATAGCAACATAGTCCACTCTCGCCAGTTTTTCTACATGAGTGATTGTATTTCAATTACGGTATGGGTACAATTGCATAAGTCGGGACTATTGGGAAGGCAAGTATCATTACTGTTAGAATAAATAAATGATCCTTGGACATGACAAGATGATTATGCTAAAGTAAAACACAGCGGAAGTCTTCATAGGTTGACCTTGATCATAGTGAATGTAAATGACAAGATGATAATAATAAAACTTACATTGCAATATATAATCCTACCTAGCCATTTACTCTGAGGGCTATATTCATTCATTAATGGTATTTAGAAGTTTGCTTTCTTGTTCTTATCAATTGGCATCGTTCTCATTACAACTGGCTTATTACAACATTCATCAAGACTACAAGCTAATGCATGCTAATATCACTAGCTAATTTATTCTTAAGAACCTTGAGTAGGGAGAGAATGGTGTGACTAGGTCAAAGGAGGGGGATACAACCAAAGTGTCGATAAAGTTTTGTACCCCCTAACATGCAACTCAGTAGAGCATATCTATATCTACAAACATAGTTTGACACACCCACATATGTTTAGTGAGGGGCATCAAAACAAGCATGACATGCATGTGGTCACAAGACCAGTCAAGATAAGAAACACAGCAAACCCAGGGTGGATCACGAAGTCACCACACATACTGAGCACAAACAAGAGGCCACAAGGCCAGTTCAAGAGTACGCAGACATATATAGAAGTACAGCAAGCAACAAGAGACAAGACAACTGTAGCCAAGAGCCTACGTCAACAAGACCTAACTGCAAACAGAACCTGTGGTGGTCACCAGGCGGAAGGGCCTTAATGAAGATGTCTGCAGTGTTGGCCTCTGAGGCCGCGAAGTCCAAGCGTGCCTGGCCACGTCGCTGCAACTCTTGCAGGAGAAAGTACCTGACGTCGGTGTGCTTCACTCTGCTTTCCAGTCGAGGCTCTCGACACAGGAGGATCATGGCCTTGTTGTCAGCGAACAAGGTCGGTGCAGAGCTCGGCCGCTCACCAAGGTCGGTGAGCAAGAAAGTCAACCAGCGAAGCTCTTGCGCAGCCATGGCACCGGCGTAGATCTCTGCCTCAGCACTAGACGAAGCCACAGACGACGACCGAGTAGACCTTCACGAGACAGCTCCAGCGCCCAAGCTGAAGCAGTAGCCCTGAGTGGACATCTGAGTCTCCACGTCGTCGGCGTAGGAAGAGTCGCAGTGACCGGTCAGTACAACTGGCTGTGTCCCTCCAAGCACAAGCTCCATGCCTGATGTAGTCGCCAGGTACTTCGCCACCCTCACAGCAGCTGTCCAGTGAACAGGACGGTGTCTCCCAGTCGCAACAAAGCGAGAGAGGACGCTGAGCGGAAAGGCGAGGTCCAGAAGAGTACAAGTCATCAGGTACATGAGGCAGCCCACAAGCTCTGCGTAGGGACCACTAGACTCAAAAGGCTCGTCGGGAAAAGGGTCAGTAAGTCTGTGGTCAACGGCAAGAGGAGTGGGCTGTGTGGTGGAGTGCTGAAGCCCGAACCGCTGAAGGACCTGCTGCACCATGTGTGACTGTGTGAGTGTGATGGTGCGAGCGGCTCTGTCCCTGGTGATCTGCAAGCCAAGGTAGCGGCGCAGCTCACCAAGGTCAGTGCACGTGTGTCTCTTCTGCAGTTCGGACTTCACCTCAGCCAGTGCATTCCTGTCTGCTGTAGCAAAGACCAAGTCGTCGACGTAGACGAGGACGAAGAAGGGTGTGGGCCCAGAACTGTTATAGTCACAATAGGCTTGAATGTGCCTAAAACGAAAGATAGAGAGCACAGACGGATTTCTGCACAGCGGCTTCAAACGTTGATAGCGTTCTGCTCACAGCTGCAAATGACTTGATTCAAATTGGATCTGGAGCGTCTTCACGTCGTCTACAATTATCAATTTAGATTGCACGATTTGATAAAGAATTGACGACACAGCGTCGGTTTGAACGAACGGTACTATGGCAGCCACTATAGTCTTAGAACACAAGATAGGAAGAGTTACGAGTTGGGAATGACTCCCAGCTCCTACAAACCCCAAGAGCCGAGGTACAGTGATGTGGAACAGTGCCACACTGTCCCCAACCACGAAGGGTCTCGAAACTACCCTTCACTAGGGCCTACACCAAGTGAAATGTTACACTACACAAAGTAATGTAACTATCTTCAATATCTTGAGGTGTACCCTTTTGGCAAGCTTCGAAATCACTTGAGGCTTGACACCAAGGCTCGGGCTCTTCATCACAAACTCATCCTTGAGTTCTTGATGGGTCTGCTGCACACACCTGCGACACGCCGAACGTTCGACACAGGACAAAATAGAAACCGCGCACGACAAAATAGAAACCGCGCGCGAGACACAAACGACCGCGTAACACGCGTCTAGCGATAACTCGCTATTGACTCGACACACACACTCGACATCATGACTCAACATTCACACACAATTATAAGCATGAAATATATATTATCCCATGCCCTCATACCATTCCATACACACACACATTCACGCACACGGACAACAAGCCGAGTGCAAACCGTAGGGTTGCACCAACAAACTCCCCCTCGGATTGTTGGCCTTAAGATATGTTGCTCTCTCAGTTCAGAGCCATCCCAGCCAGCTTGCAACACTTCCAATGCTGCTGCTCCACCAGCCTCTTGGTCATCATGTCAGCCGGCTGCCCCGTGGTCTTCACGTAGCGCAACTCAACTTCACCCGCGGTTACCATGCTCCTCGTCCAATGCCACTTCACCCTCATGTGCTTCGTGAGTCCATGCAACACAGGGTTCTTAGCAAGAGCAATGGCACCCTGGCTGTCACAGTACAGTGGGGTAGGTCCTTGCTGCTCCTCCCCCAATTCAGCCAACAAACGCCGCTGCCACACAATCTCCCGTACGGCACGGAAGAGTGCCATGTACTCGGACTCCACCGAGCTCAAAGCTTGGTCAACCTGCTTCTTGCTCTCCCAAGCAGTTGGGCCTCCACCAACACAGCATATGAAGCCTCCCACACTTGTCATGTCCTCTGGTTCTGATGCATATGAAACATCCGAGTAGGCGGTGAGGAACAAACGCCCGGGTTCAACACCATCCGCGCCCTTTTGGCGCCTTTGTGCCGCCGCCGAGTATTGCAGCCCAACGGTCGGTGTTTGGCCAAGATACTTGGCCACCCTCATTCCAGCTGCTACCTGCTCCTCATTAGGGCATTGCACAACCCTAGCCAGCTGCCCGGTAGCAAACGCGACGTCCGGTCGGGTGTTTACCGCCGCATACATGAGGCTGCCCACCAACGAGTGAAATCGGCGCCTCTCCTCTTCACCAACGCTCTCCTCCTCTGGTCCCTTCACACACTTGAACCCAGAGGGAAAGGGTGTAGCCACATGGCCTTCACTCTGCCCAAAGTTGGCAGCCAATGCCTCCAGGTACTTTCGTTGATGCACCCGCATGCACCGCTTCTCCACATCTCGTTCGATGTGGAGCCCAAGGTAGAAGCTCACGTCACCAAGGGCCTTGCACTTGAACTTGTCTTGAAGCTTCAGCATCACCTCCTTCACAAGGTCAGAAGAGGGTGAGAAAATGAGGATGTCATCCACATAAACCACCATGAAACTCCTCTGCTCCCCCTCGCCAAGCATGAACAAGGAGTGATCGGCCGTTGAGGGAGTGAAGCCGATCCCCTCCAACACTTCGCGCAGCTTCATGTACCATTGCCTAGGGGCCTACTTCAGCCCATAGAGGGCCTTCTTCAGCTTCCACACTCTGCCACTACCATCATCAAACCCCTCTGGCTGCGCCATAAAAATCTCCTCCTCAAGGATGCCGTTAAGGAATGCCGTTACGATGTCCATTTGCTTTACTACCCATCCTTTGATGGCGGCTCCCGCGAATAGGGTTCGCAGCGTCGTCGGCTTCACCACAGGGGCAAACAGCTCCTTGAAGTCCACCTTCTCCTTCTGCTGGTACCCCTTGGCTACAAGCCTAGACTTGTAGCGCTCGATCTTGCCGTCGGCATCCGACTTGATTTTGAAGAGCCACTTGGACGTTATCGCCGTACGCCCCTCCGGTAGCTCCACCAATTCAAACGTGTCATTCTCCTCGATGCTCTTCAGCTCACTCTCCATGGCCTTCTTCCACTCCTCAGCATCACTACTCTCCAAAGCCTCCTTGAGAGTT